GGTATATTTCACACCTACTGAGTTAATGATTTCCGCGGGAAATATTCAAAAACTGCCCCGTCTGTCCATAACAGAAGACGGTCGATATGTCGAACACCGCAAAATCTTATGTCTTGGTTTGCTATTTATTTTTATTGTTATTAGATATAGTTTAAATGTATTGATGTTGGTTAAATATATTTTAAATTATTATAAAATTCTGCATCTCTCATATCAAATATTATTTTCGTTTTAATTGATGCTCACAGCTAGAATTTTTTTGCATTACAGCCGGTGCCGTTCAAAGCATACTTATTTAAAGCCGGCGAATTTTTATATACTCTATATCTCGAAGAGGAATCGAGCAAAATATCAAGTGTGATATTTTTGGAAAGGTAATTTTAAAGTATTCTCAATAAATTAAAAATATACAGGGTGTCCCATATAAAAAATCAAATTTTCTGTTGATAATCCTTAAATTATTAATTTAAAAAAAAATATACATAAACCATTAAATTCTACGTTAAAAAGTGCTTTGGAAATGTTTTCATAAAATACAAAATTTTCCATAGCAAAAAAGTTACAACGATTTGTTAAAAATGCATATTTTTGAAAAACACCCCGTAACTCCGAAACGGTAACAGATATCGATATGCGGTTTTCACCATCATATTTTTGACAAAAATTGAGCTCCAGACACCGATATTAGTTTTTGTCTATCTCCTATAGAAAAGGGTGTTTCCATTTAAAAGCGTCGAATTTGACCCACCCTGTACATATTTAGATAGCTTTAATGAATCAATCAATAGCTTTAATCAATCAAAATCATGAATTTTATTGTACCTTCTCGATGTATACAGAAAGCATCATAAAATTTAGATTTGTATATTATTTTAAGGGGTTCTTTAAAAAGTTTCAAATATTTTTTTCTATAAAATGAAAGGGGGAAAACTAATTCATTACTTTTAAAATTTACATTGGGTTTCCTATGTTCAAAGTGACAATGCAACACACGGTACATGAATTTGTATGGAAAGCATTTGGGAGGATAACCAACTTGAAGCATACTTGAAGTCCAAAATAATGCAACCCTAGATAAATGGATAAAAGAAACAAGTTTAGATTGGAAAGTGCCCATAAGCACAATGTAAATACTATTTGGCGCTATTCTTGCAACGGTCGCTCTCCAAATCTTTTGATAACTTCGGAGCGGTTCGGCTTTTTCCGGAATTATTTCGCCAAATTTTTATTTTTTTAAATAAAATACAGTGTGTTACAACAGTCATATAAAACACTTTATTTTATATAAGGACATATGTATGAAATACCAATGAAACAATGGAAACCAACGTTATGCCCGATCCACAATGGTTTTTGCAGTTCACAGTTTACACAGCTTTTTAAGTTTTTAATGCCACTTTTTCACAATTATCACGAGTTTTAGTAAATAAAATTTAAATTAAACTCACCAGATAGGTATAATTACTTTGAAAATGAACGATTTAAGCACTTTTCGGTATTTTTTCAATGAAGGCGGTTTAAATTTTGAAAGATTTTATAATTTTTAAAGATTCTGACTTTGTTTGCGGTTGTTCTTAGCAACTGCTATAGCAGCGCCAGATCGCGTACACTGTTGCGACCCAAAACAATTATATATTTTGACGGGCATTCCAATCTAAATTTATTTCCTTTATCTATGGTGAAAACAGCTTTCGAATGTTTTGTCTTAATATGTATTACATGCATATTACACAAATGAATGTGCCAACATATGTAGGACACTAAAAGCAAATCCCCATTTCCGAGTCCAATCATCTTGTTAATACTACACCTCCCGAAAATATGCCCCTGCAGCTTTGTACTGCTAACAACAGCAGCGGACCTCGATAATTGCTAAATGCTACGGACTAATCCAATCGAAATTGCCTTGGCTTCGACCAGCTCTCGATAATCGAAACTAATAGAGTTATAACGGGCCATTTACAGGACGCTCCGTCTCTGTCACTCTGTTGTTCTGTTGTACGTTGTTGCCGATGTTGCGTGCGTACGATAACATCAAAGCAATACAGTGATGAACCGGACTTGACAATGCTACACGGCATATAATAGCCTGTTGATTGCTTGATTTGTCAATAATAGAAGTAAATTAAATGTAGGGTTATTTTTTGTTATATGATCTTTTTCCATCTCACAGTCGCAGAAAAAAGCAGTTTCGCCTTCAGGTTCATAATTCATAGAAATCAAATTACCTGTCTACTAGAGCTGCAATAAGTCAGTTTCAATAAGACTTAAATCTTAAAGCTTCATTCAGAAGCATTAAGCAATTAGTGAGACTGAGATTAGTGAGAATTAGATGACATAGTCATCGCTGATGACATAGTCCTAATAGCCAATAGTTCTGAAGAACTGCAAACACAAATTAACGAACTAAATACAGCCAGCAGTAAAGCACCTAGGTCTCAAAATGAATTTAGCAAAAACTAAAGTAATGGAGAACGAAGTAGAATACAGAAAAGCCATTCTAATAAATAACACAAAACTGGAAATAATAGAAGAATATACATATACATATATACATATATACTGCCATTACTCGCTGACGAGTATTTGACACGCATCAGAAGATGGTCACGCAAGGCGTTTTCTTTCATGAGCTTTTCTGTGACTGAAAAGCCCAATACGTGATGTTATTTGTCTACCGCATTCCGGACATTCAAAAATCTCATTGCTTTGTTGCCTCTTAACTTTTTGGTTCTCGCTGGTAACTGAGTTTACAATTAATTCTTCTCCATTGAGTTTTATTGTGCCACTTCCCACTCATTCTGCACGTTAATCCTCCTTAAGTTTTCGTGGAAAATGTCCTTGTACCTTTTGAGTTATCCACCTGGCCTCCTCTTACTGTCTACAAGCTCACCGTAAAGCAGTGATTTTGGTATGCGGTTTTCTTGCATTCTGCATACATGACCAGCCCATCTTAGTCGGGATTTTGTAACCATGACTTTAATACTCTCGCAGTTAGCTTTTCCAAGAACCAATGATGGAACCATTTGATTCTTAAGAGTTGTCTAAGATGTCTTTGTTGCAACTTGTTTAATGCGTTCATGTGTCGGCGGTACGGCACCCAGGTTTCGCTCCCATATAACATGGTGGGGATTATTATTGCTCGGTACACTTCAAGTTTCGTTTTTATGCTCAGGTCATGGTTGTAGAAAACCCTGTCTTTTAATTTCCAGAATGCTCTTGAGGCGCTGCTAATCCTGTGCTGAATTTCAGAGTCGATATTGGCCTTTTCCAAAATCAAACTGCCGAGATAATTGAATTCCGCTACATATTCTAGTAGTTCTTCTCCGATTTTTATAGCATTGTTGTGATCCTCCGGGGGAGTGCACATGATTTTAGTTTTGTCGATATTTAGCTTAAGGCCCAAAGCCTCGTATGCCCAGGTATATATGCTCAACATTTCTTGTAATTGCTGTACAGTTTTTGCAACTAGAGCGCAGTCATCAGCGTATTGAAGTTCTGTGATGAATTTTGTACGTGTTTTTGCCCTGAGTCTTTTTATGTTGAACAGACCGCCGTCGTATCTGTATCTAATAGCCAATCCTCTCTCCTGCAGTTTGCTGTCCACTATAATGGAAAGCGCTGCCATGAATATGTTGAATAGGAGAGGCGCTAAGACACATCCCTGCCTAACTCCTGTATTTGTTAAGAAGGGATCGCTCAGGCGATCCATGATGAAGGGATCGCTCAGGCGACTCTAGACTTGTTGTTATGGAGGCTTTTACACACTGTAAGAAATTTGATGGGTACTTCGAACTTTGTCATAATTGCCCAAAGTGCATCTCTGTTCACAGAGTCGAAGGATTTTGTTAGGTCGATGAATGCAACATAAAGTTTAGATTGCTGTTCTTTTACTTTGTCCTGTAGTTGGCGGATGGAAAATATGGAATCGACGGTGCCGCGGTTAGTGCGAAAACCCGTTTGCGGTTCTGGAAGGATTTTTTCTATATGTGGGTGCAGGCGGTTTGACATAATTTTTGCAAGAATTTTTCATCCGATAGCCAAGAGTGAAATTCCCCGGTAGTTCCGGCAGTTTGATGCACTTCCTTTGTTCTTAAATATATTCACTATATTTGCGTTGCAAAAGTCCTGAGGTACCTCTCCGCTTTCTCATATGACATCGAAGAGAGCCTTAAGATGACCAATAAGTTGCTGACTAATACTTGTACACTTATAGATTTCCGCCGGAATCGCGTCACAGCCAGCTGATTTGTTGTTTTTAAGCTGTTTTATGGAGGCCTTTATTTCCTGTTTTGTTATTGGGATATCTAATATATCGAGGCTGTTATACTGAGGTATTGTGTTTAATGCTTCCATATTGGGGTTATTTTCTTGGTTAAGGATATAGCTGTAATGCTCTTTCAAGGTTTCTGATTTGCTCTTCCTCTTTTAGAAGTTCGCTATTTTGTGCCATGATTGGGCAGCTTACCTTCTTGGTTGGGCCGTATAGGGTAGACTCGTCCGATCACTAATATATTTCTAACCCTGCAAAAAATTAAATTTCGCAACATTGCTATTTTAAAAGTGGTGCTTATATTCTGATAAATACCGGTAGTTTTTTGCTGAATTGGTAAGTAATATTAGTTTAATTCCTTTAAAACGTTATTGCAAGACGTAAAATACTTGGTTTTCTTCCACATTAATGATGATTTTTAGCTTAAACTTCTTATTTCATATAGAATTTTTGGGTTGATCGAAAGGATATTGTTTCCTTTACACATAACCTTAAAAAATTTATATTCTAAAGTATTGTTGCCATATATTTAATAAAATAAGGAGATTTAGTTAATTCTAGGCAAGACCGATCAGGCAAAACCGATCATGATCAGTTTTGCCCTAACTAGCTACCTATTATTGTTGAATTGCCTATTTAATAATAATTGGATATAGTTAGATTCATTGCAAAATCGTCCGTTTATGTTTTTATTTGGAGCTTGGTTTTAATTTGTAGCATGGTAAAGATGGTTTTCAAATATAAGCGAATATCTTCCAGGGGAGATTCATGGAGTGAGCAGACAATGTCTTTAGCATTAAATGACTTAAAGCAAGGGAAGATATCTATTAGGGGGGCTTCAAAAAAATATGGAATTCCCTATTCTACTCTGGCCGACCACAAAAAATTAAATACTTCAAAAAAGAAGTTAGGAAGATATTCTAAAGTTTTTTCCGAGGCAGAAGAAAAAGAGCTTGTTGAATATCTGAAAGAATTAGATAAGCGATTCTATGGTTTAACCAAGAGAGATTTTTGTAAATTAGCTTACCAGTATGCGGAGGAAAAACATATTCACCATCCATTTACGAATAATGAAGCGGGTGAGCAGTGGTACGCTAATTTTATGCTGCGACATCAAGAGTTAAGTTTAAGAACTCCAGAACCTACTAGCGTCGCACGGGCTTGCGGATTCAACAGAGTTCAGGTCGAAATTTTCTTTAAAAATCTGTCTCAAATTCTGGAAAAGCATCATATTACTACGGACAATATATATAATGTCGATGAGACGGGGATCCAGACGTCAGCTAAAAAACCACCAAAAGTTTTATCCGTGAGAGGCAAGAAGCAAGTTGGGTCAATTTCGTCATCTGAACGTGGTACCCTGATAACGTCGTTATTTTGTTGTTCAGCAACCGGAAAATTTATTTCTCCAACTTTAGTATTTCCTCGAAAGAAGAAAAATCCCCGTTATCTTGAAGGAACCCCTCCAGAAACATTAATGTTAGTAACGGACAATGGCTGGATTAATTCTGATGTTTTTTTTAGAATGGCTGAAGTTTTTTGTGGCGAGTGTAAGACCGACGGAACAGCATAAATGTCTTCTTATACTAGACAATCACGTGTCACATCGGTCCTTAAAGGTTTTACAGTATGCATCCGAAAATCATGTGGTCATTCTGTCAGTTCCGCCCCACTCGACCCACAAACCCCAGCCGTTGGACGTTGCTGTATACGGTCCATTCGGAAAATATTTTGAGAGAGCCCTGGATAAATGGCAAAAAGCTCATCCAGCCCAGAGAGTAACTTTTTTTGATATAGGCTCAATATTTACCGAAGCCTATTTAAATAGCGCTACTCCTGTTAATGTCATAAGTGGATTTAAAAAAACAGGAATCACAAATTGTGATATTTCCGTTTTTACAGACCTTGACTTCACACCCTCAATCGTAACCGAAATAAACCCATTGGAATCAACGAAAACACCTAAAAATATTTACTGTACAGAAATTGCGGCCTCTAGAAGTACTGCCTCTGAAACGACTGATGGTGCTGGACCATCCAGAGTATTGAAAGAAAATTTAGTCCAGGTTACAGATGGCTTACAAATTATATCTGCCAGTAATATAGAGAAAGATCCAACAAATACGAATAAAAATATTATGACGCCTGAAAAAAAGATTACCGTTATTTCCGATATATTGATAGTACCAAAAGCTGACTCTAAACAAAACACACGAAGAAGAAAGTCACAGAAGTCGGAAATTTTGACTTCTACACCTGTTAAAGAAGAAATTTCTCAAAAAGGAAATACAAAAAAGGAGAGTGTTACAAGAAAAATAAAAATAGACGATGGACCAAGAATAAAAATTAAGAAAACCTTAAAAACTGACGAGAAAACAATAAAAGCTAGAACGAAAAAAACAAAACAGGAGCTTATTTATCCTAAGCCACCAAAAGAAGAATGTCCAGGGGAGGATGTTAAATGTTTAGAATGTTATGGATTATTCTCTAATTCACGTCTACTAGAAGTGTGGATACAGTGTAATATTTGCTGCAATTGGGCGCAAAAATTATGCACATATTACATAACAGGGGTATACATTTGTGACCAATGCAAAGACACTATTGTGTCAAATAGACATTAATTTACATTTACCCAACCCAAGTTGTTTCTACATGTTTCAAAATTATATATTTTTTACATTTAAGTCACCAAAGTTTTGTTCGTTTGCTAATAAAGTGTTTTTGTGCTTATTAACCGTTTTATTTAAAAAAAGTATTTTAAAAGTAATTTGAAATTCCTGATCGCTTTTTGCCTAGTGACCTAGTGATATGATCGGTTTTACCCTGGGGTACTGGGCAAAACCGATATTCCGCAAGTTTTTAATTTTAATTTTTGTCATCCTTATTTTTCACTATTTTGTTGTTAACGTTTTTAACACTTGTATATAACATGTTAATTTATTCACATTTGAAATGCCGATCAGATTGAAGTAAGTTTAAACATTTTATAATAGGTCAATATAAGGTGATCGGCGCTGCCCGAGTCTCCCCTACTTCTTTTACAGCCTCGAAGAATCTACGGTAATCGTGATGCGTGGCGTACTCTTGAATCTGATTAGCTTTTTGTGACCACCAGTTCTCCTTTAGTTGGCGTAGTTTTCTCCGAAGCGTGTTGTTGGCTGCTTTAAAGTTGTCTACCAGCCTTGGGTTGTGTGGATTTGCAGTGACTGTTTGATGTGCTCTATGCTTTTGTTCCAACAAAGCCTGTATATGAGGTTGATTTTCGTTAAACCAGTCTGGTTGTTTCTTTTTGTTGGACTTTCCCAGTACAGCTTCGCTGGTTTTATGATTCGCATCCGTTAATTTTGTCCAGCCTTGTTCAGCTTCCAAGATTGAGATTGAAGTTATCGGTGGAAGTGATTCTTTGATGGCTTCCCGAAGGGCGTCAGCGGTATCGTTGTTCTCTAGACCCCGTACGTTCAATCTGGTCATGTTGTTTTGTTTTTTACAGTGTGGATGTTTGGATGTTAAGTGGATTTTCATTTTTGAAATTAAAAGTCGATGGTCAGAGCCGCATTCGGCATCTACTCTGGCTTTTGTGAGTCTGACATCTTTTAGATGCGTCCTTCGAACGATTACGTGGTCCAATTGATGCCAGTGGCCTGATCTGGAATGTTTCCAGGTACCTTTAAACTTGTCCTTCAATATGAACCACGTATTGGTGATTCAAAGATTATACTCTGTGCATGTTAATAAGCGTTCATCATTGCTATTTACGTTTCCCATACCATGTTTTCCCAATACGTCAGGCCATATTTCCATATGTTGTTTACCGACACGGGCGTTAAAGTCACCTAGCAAGATAATTCGTTCGTCCTTCGGAATTCGTTGGAGAGCATTTTGTAGAGTTTGGTAAAATTTATCCTTATCCTCAATCTAGGGTGGGAGCGTAGGCACTAATGATGTAAATGCCTTTATTGTCAAAAAAATTTTCAATTTGTAGACAAAGGTAAACTAACAAACAAAGTAGAAAAAAAACAAGGTACACAAACAAACAAACAAAAGATAATACAAAACATTATATAAATAATTCATGTTGACGTAAGTTTTGTCTGATATGGGATACCTTAGGGTCATAAGGCGTTCGGAGACACCAATAGGTACTTCTGTTAATTTGGTTGCAGTTTCGTTCTTGATTGCAATGCCTACGCCATGAATTCTCTTGTGTGTTGCGGGTTGACCCTTCCAGAAAAAGGTGTAATGCTCCTCAGTGAGACTACCCTCATCCGCAAAGCGGATTTCGCTAAGAGCTAGCGTAGAAGAACAATACACTTTTTGGGACAACTAATACACAGCTCGGGATCTCTACTACCAGAAATCAACAGAAAATCTAAGTTAGCAGTGAGTACTTATGGAAGAAACTCAATCATATTCAAATCTAGAATGCCACTTTATCTAAAAAAGAAAACAATCGACCAATGTGTACTACCAGTCATGACCTATGGAACGGACATTATAAGAAAACTGCAGGTCGCACAACGCTCAATTAATCGAAATTATGCTGGGAATAACCAAGAAAGACCGAAAAGAATAGAGTTGATACGACAAAAGACCCAGATAATAGATGTCATCCACAGAATCAAATCCCTCAAGTGGCAATGGTTAGGACACCTGGCTAGAAGGACGGATAACAGATGGACCACAAAAATTACAGCATGGTACCCACGAGGAATTAAGAGACCTAGAGTAAGACCGAACCTGAGATGGAACCATAATATTAGGAAATTAGCAGGGATAACTTGGGCCCCCATAGCCTACAATAGACAACAATGGGCCAAACTACAAAGAGAGTATCTAAACATGTGATGGAGGCTACACAATAATTGGAAATGGTTGAATAAGCTAAGAATGATGATAATGATGATGATGATGCTGTAAGAATGTGTATCAAAGATGGCAAATACATCATCCAAATATCTAAATCATAGATCTTCCTTCTTCCTGTGCCTTGTGCTTAGCCGCACGTTGGCGATTTTCTGTACTCTTCATATAATGTGTAGACTGCCGTTTTCGGCTCTTCGAAATATGGTAGCTGCGTCGCTGATATTACACCAATCCTATCCGTATGTTTCTTAGCCAGGAATGTTGTTTTCTTCCTGTGCCTTCTATTTTTCCTTGTAGAATTAGTTGAGGAATGCAATATTTGTCTCCTCTAAGGATATGGTCGAGGTAGGGAACTTTTCTTTCTATAATTTTGTTAATCATTTCTCGTTCATAATCTGCAGTTCATAAAACTTCTGCGTTGGTGGCATGTGCGGTCGATGGCACACGTAAGAGTCTCCGGAGAGTCCACATTTTGAAAGCCTCGATGCGGTTCAGGAACGCCTTGAACGCCGTATAGTAAGATGGGCTATATATAGCATTTTACTACCCGTAGTCTAAGTGCTAGCGGGAGACTGCGTGCTAGTAGGAAGTTTTTAAGTTTGAAAAATGTTGTTTTTGCATAATTCGTTCTAAGTTTAACTTCTTCATCGTCCCATCGTTCATTGATCATGGCACCTAGATATTTAAATCGTGGTACTCGCTCTATAATATTTCTACCAACCGTCAATGCGGTGTTGATTATAGGCTGCGTCCTGTTACCATAAGTTTAGTCTTGGTAGCGTTGATTTTAAGACCGAAACGATTTCCCAGGTCCCCTATCTTATTTATTATTTCCTGGAGATCCTCTAAAGTGCTAGTGCTAGTGCTAGGATTGCCGTACTAAAAGCATAGATACTTTTGATAAATACTGAAACTGATTTTTAGCCGCTTTTATTCAAACCTACTCATGAATAAATTGACCAAAAATAAATATTCCTAATATTTTTTGTTCCTGCGACAATAGAAATAATGCATAATTACATGTTTTACAAATTCATTTTTAGTATTTATTATTCTACTTTTATTAAATTTCAAATTTTAATAACAGATAACACGCCCACTTTAGCTCGAATATCGCATGTTCGAGATATTATAAATGATAAATGTTACGTGCCACAAAACGTTTTAAGTACCCTTTTAGCACTCGAAATATAAAATAAAATTAAAATAAATGCAAGTCGTGTCCGACCCAAATCGGTGAACCGTTTAATTAATTGTACGCCAGATAAAACACATCAAACAACGAAAAATGATTTGCGTCCGTGTGGCTCATTAGCTTTTTGTGATTTTATGCCCTTCGGCATGCGCAACTTCATATATGCGTTTATTTATGACATGAATATAAGTGCGTATATTTTATTTTATGTTTTAAATGTCAGGTATCTATTCTGATTGCGGATTTAATGTATAGAGTATGATAATTTTACATTATTCAAAAATATTTTATGTATAAAGTATGTATTGAAAATACAGATGATCGTATGAAATAAATATACAGGGTGGTTCGAACTGTATACCGGAAACTTCGGCAGCATATTCTGCAGATAAAAATAAGTAAAAAAATTCGTATAAATGTATGTCCTAAAATACATACTTTCAGAGATACAGGGTGTAGAAGTTTCATTTTCATTTCGATTTTTTCTAAATCATTTCTGAAGTAATGTCAAT